TGTAGACCTGTAATTACAAAATGTAAATGCTAAATATGAATCAGGCTGTAAATGCTAAATATGAACCAGGTGGTAATGCTAAATATGAACCAGGCTGATCCATTAAATGTTGTAAGATTGAAGTATCTGCCTTTCCAAGTTCTCATTGTCCATCCTCCGTGTCCAGAGGTAGACACCAATGGTCATATCAAACTAGTCTGTAGCTCATTTCAGACTAGGACTTAAGTAAAATAACTAGATTTTGGAGAAAACGACTAGTCCATGTAGATTTTCACGAGTCTCAGACTACCAGACAGGTGGCTGTGTCTATCCCTGCATGTCCTAACCATGGCAATCTTAATACTGTACACATTTCTTTGGCAGTGCATAAATAATTTAGTATTGATATTTATAAATCTGACATTTAATATTTACCGATACATAAATATCTCAAAAACACGTTGACATCCCAAGTCATAGATAACAAGCTGGTGTCAAAACAACACAGAAAGTCAAAGCCAAACATTTTGTTGAACACACAATTAATACGACTGATAATAAAATCTTGGCTAAAATGGTATTGTTTCCTAGAACTCAACATCACATATTCATAATTCTATGTTAGGTATCAATAGATCATAATTAATGGTGTTTTCTCCCACTCAGATGACATGCTGGCCATGTTAGAATACACTGAATAGCCAACATGAATAAACCAGAACTTGGCACTGGAAAATGAAAGGAGTAGCCTCCCTTGTAATTTCTTTTTCCATCTGCAGAAGACAATAATGATTGTTTTTACAACAGGGTTGACATCTTTAAATGTAATCCTAATGCAACAAATAATACCTAAGAAAGCCTTCTGTCACTCTTTTTACGGAGATAGAAGATATTTTTATATGTAATATTATTATACATAAATTATTAAAATCTAAATATGTTCTGATTTTGAAATGCTATTTCATTTGTCAGGTTTGTAAAATATGTCCAATTGCAGATCTCATTGACTTGTTTACCACGGTTTACACAATGTTTATAACAAATTTATAGTGTGTACAACATGTGCAAAAAGGTAGCAAAACTTAAGCATTATAAACAGGGTAAAAAAATATTGTACATAAACAGATAAATGTTATTTCATCTGTTACTATCTTACATTACAATACTGCATCTTCCTACATGTCCTATTGATACCCATTTTTAAAAAACTTAAACATGAATATTATGACTACAAGAATTAACCCTGCCAGTAGTGACAGTGTGTTTATTCAGCTACTAGCAGCATGGCCATATATAGTATTGCTACCACACCGGCTAGTCAGGGAGGTGTGTGGGCACCTGATTGGATTATTTACTGATCATCTCTAATCAACACTAATCATTATCCTCAGTTGACTGAGCATAAGAAAACTTGAGCGTTTACGAAAACTTGTCATCTGTAATAATAAATAATAATGGTGAACATGCAATGGTGAAGAAATGTTAAGTAAGATGACAGAAGTCAAATGTGAGATAATGTCAAAATGTGTATGAAGATTGATCTGAAATGAATGAGTGAGTATAATTTTACTCTGCTTTTGGCAATATTCCAGTGGTGGGGGGACACCAGAAATGGGCTCCACACATTGTACCCATGTGGAGAATTGAACCCGGGCTTGCGGCATGATGAGCAAACCACTAGGCTACCCAACACCCAGATGTGAAATGAAGAAAGAATATACAAACAAGAGTCATCAGGAGATGACATATCCCCTCAGCCTGGTGCAATTTTGAATGGAGTTTGGCTACTAAAACCCAACTTTTGTGTCAATGCCATTGGACACCTTCAGCTCAGTAAAGAAAACAAGCATGAAATACTCACATCCCCCGCCAATATGACATGTCGGGTTGTGTGCAATGTAAATGGCCTAATTGCAGCACTAAAAAAAGTTATTACTGGTGTTGTTTTTCCATCTGCAGTTTATGATAGAATATGTAACTGAATTTGTAATGAGTAAGGATGAGACATATGGACGAACAACTTCTTTATTACAATTAGGAGCGATGGTTTCGGTGAAGGTTCTGACACCGTTTTCAAGCAAGTGAAGTACAGAGTATGGTTGACAAGAATATATAGTGTTTATACAGTTGAGTAGGTTTAAGATCAGTTACACTGTTGTATTTGTAATGAGTTGTGTTTCTGCATGAAGTTAGTCAGTGAATGCAACAACTGTGTCCATGACACTCAAGCAATGCAGAACTTACCAACAAGAAAGGAAATGTATTCAATACTGCGAGATGACATTATGTGCCAAGTTTGGTGAAGAAATATAGTAGGGTTTTCAAGATCTGCTCAAGAAACGAGGACTACCGCCATTTTCAGTCTAAATCAAAGTCGTTGCCATGGAATCTCGAAAAATAATTTTTTGAAAAATCCTATACTATCAAAAGGCACCAGTTCACCACTAGATCTATCTATGTGCCAAGTTTGATGAAGAAATATAGAACGGTTTTCAAGATCTGCTCCGGAAACGAGGACTACCGCCATTTTCAGTCTAAATCAAGGTCTTTGCCATGGAATTTCGAAAAATAATTTTTTGAAAAATCCCAAACTATCAAAAGGCACCAGTTCACCACTAGATCTATCTATGTGCCAAGTTTGATGAAGAAATATAGAACGGTTTTCAAGATCTGCTCCGGAAACGAGGACTACCGCCATTTTCAGTCTAAATCAAAGTCGTTGCCGTGGAATTTCGAAAAATAATTTTTTGAAAAATCCCAAACTATCAAAAGGCACCAGTTCACCACTAGATCTATCTATGTGCCAAGTTTGGTGAAGAAATATGGTACGGTTTTCAAGATCCGCTCCGGAAACGAGGACTACCACCATTTTCAGTCTAAATCAAAGTCGATGCCATGGAAACTCAAAAAATATATTTTTTTTAAATCCCAAACTATCAAAAGGCACCAGTTCACCACTAGACCTATCTATGTGCCAAGTTTGGTGAAGAAATATGGTACTGTTTTCAAGATCTGCTCCGGAAACGAAATGTGACGGACGGACGGTACCCATTCCTATATCCCCTTTCGACTTTGTGGCGGGGGATTAATAAAATGCAGATCAGTATTTTTTTAAATCCCAAATCATGAAAAGACACCAGTTTAGACTGATCTGCATAGCATGTTTCATGTAGAAATATTCAATGGTTTGGGAGGAAATCAAGCACTAGTCTCATTTTCAGTAAAAACGAGCACTTCCCCTCATTTTAAGTATAAGTCCAACTTGTTGTCTTGAAAAAAAATAAAAAATTAAAAAATTAAAAAATCCCATAGCATGAAAAGGCACCACTTCACCACTAGACTGATCTATATAGCAAGTTTCAACAAGAAATATTTAACGGTTTTTGAGTTCTGAAACGGAAAACAACTTGTTTTCATCATGAAAAATCATGAAAAAAAAGAAAATTAGATAGAATAAAAATACCAAATCAACAAAAGGAACCAGTTCCCCACTAGACTGATCAATATAGGACCTGTGAAGATCCGGGATAGAATAGGTCTTCACCAACCCATGCTTGCCATAAAAGGCGACTATGCATGTCGTAAGAGGCGACTCCCGGATTGGGTGGTCAGGCTCGCTGATTTGGTTGATGCATGTCATCGATCCCAACTGTGTGGATCGATGCTCATGATGTCAATAACTGGATTGTCTGGTCCAGACTTGATTATTTACAGACCGCCGTCATAAAGCTGGAATATTGCTGAGTGCGGTGTTAAAGAACAAAAAAACCCCCATTAATATAGAAAGTTTCAACAAGAAATATTTAACGGTTTTGGAGATCTGCTACAGAAATGGTTGGCTGATGGTCGGATGGACAAACATGTTAATCGCTATATATATCCCTCCCATTTTTCAAACCAGGGGGGTTAAAGGTAAAAATAGAAACTGTATGAAACTAAATATGTTGGAATTTGTTTTCATGATATTTACTTCAGATATATATTGTCAGTTGACAATGAGAGTTGAATTGAGGTCATTAGCCTAGTGTCTGAAATAGATGCCTGCCTGCTATCCTGTGGCTGTCAACATTTCTATCGGGATAGTTGAAACTTATTCCTGCCCACCAGACTGTCAATAGAAACTTTCATTGCTACACCGACACTGACAATTTTGCATCAGACATTGATCATGTATCGGAGAACAAGAGCTACCTTTGTGCCTTTGACATTTACAACTTTATAATCACAGAGTACCGTAGATCTGTGAAAAAATATAATGATTATCTAATCTAGCATGTATTAATATCCAGGCCTGCCACTTTCAAGATGGGCTGTCACATTTATCCATCACAAGTCAGAAGCCCATCAGCCTCGTTGAGGGTAAAAAATACTTCGGATACTGCATAAACTTGATAACTGATTCCTAATTAATGATTAATATTTGATGACTTGGTCCCAACTTTACGAGTTGATTTTGTTAATTAATGTGTTGCTGTATAGGTTCTCGTAAAGGGGTCTGTGTTGTGTTGTGCACCACAGAAATGTACCTCAGGTACCATTTTGAATGCAGAAACAGACACTGGACAAAACCATAACAATGAAAGGACCCCTACAGGTTTAAAAAGACATAACAATTAAAATGTTGTGACAAAGTTGATTTGCTACAGGTTCTTGTCATGAAAATGGTGCTGATTCATCAGAACGTCTGTTTTTCTACAAGAGTCAAAATAATATGAGCTTACCATGTTCAGGTTCCACTGTTAAACTCTGGGTAAACAGGTAAATACTGAATACTTATTCCGATCACATATGTGCTTTCTATAGATGATGAGTGAACGTCAGTGCGTGAACAGAATAGTAGATTAAATGACTTACATAAAAGTAAAAGATTTGGATGCGTTATGTTACTCTTATTGCTGTCAATATATCAAAGGGTGGTAAATCATGATTTCACAATCTGCAGCTGTGACAAGACAATCGATCTCTTGTATAGGTGAGGCCATGTAACATCATATCAATACTTAGAGGACAAAGGGACTCACTTTAACTGCGAATACCTGGGTCTTGTAGATACTTTTAGAGACCTTCTGGAGGCACCATAGACTCCACTCAACGACATGTGATTTGGAGTAATTTATCAAGATTGCTTCCTTCTTATTCATTTCCGGCAGTCAGGTCACATATATCACTTAAAACATACGTTACAACTGTCACATTTTCTTTAAATTGATCTGGGTGTAACATTCTATGACTAATATGTAAGTAAATAGCACACATTTAATGAATCTTACTGAATCCGTCAAAAATGTTAACCAGAAATATATGTTTGTGCATGCTTTAAGCGGTGTATTTATCAGGGAACCGGAAGTGTAACAGGTGCTTGCTTGACAACAAGACGCCGTTGCAACATGGAAGGACTTCGTGGTATGAATGACCTCAAATGACAGGAGATCAGAGACGTCAATATTTTCTATCAGCATGAAAAGCCAGGACACAGAGGTACCTTGATGAAATCGTTTTAAAATTATTGTGTCATTTTACTATTACCACTGAACCCAGTGTTAATCATTAAATATAGATCTAGAGATCTGGTGATGATTTGGCCTCAGAGACAAACATTATTATGGGTAAACATTATAATTGCTAGGTCTAGAATATGAAATTTAGTTTATCAAATTAATGAATGCAATGCATATATATCCTCAGGACAGCCGGGGTTAGGGCCTACAACAAATATATACAAATGTATATTTTTTTTAATTAGGATCGTATCGGAAAGTACCTTAATAAATCCCATGAAATAGGCCAAAATACTAGTTTCTAGTATGAAGTCACTGTGGTAATACCCTTAGGATCGGAACAATGTATTTGGTACTTGGGGAAAGTTTTCGTGCACACTTCATGATAGTTAATAATCACTAAAAATTGATTTTTTTCATAACTTCAAATGTCTTTGAAGTCATTATTTGGTGTTTGTGTTTTATTTTAGTGATAATGTCAAATGCACATTTCCAAGAGCATTCCATATATCTATAATACACACACATGGTATGGTTTCCAAAAGGGGTCACATGACCAGCCCCTCATGCATTATCATCAGACATTATGTTTGAACCCAGTTTGGAAGTGCAGAGGATATATATAAACATGAAAGCAGCATGTGAAAGATTCCCTTTTCATCAAGTCCTTTGTTAGGTTTATTTGAGCACCAGGAATTTACACTGATTGCTTGACATAAAGTAACTAAAATCAACTAAATAATTTCTAAAACAATGTACAGTTATGTTTTGCAGTAAAAACATTATGCTTCTGCAATGCTCAATGACAGAAAAAGTTGCTTTTAGTACTATTTGGTGAAGATATGTCAATTATGTAATTTCTGTTTCAGATGGAACAGGATCCCTTCCTGTGTACATGTGGACCTTGCAAGAAGTTCTGGCAGGACTCCTTCCATGGCGTGTCCTCATCCTTGACCTTTGCCCCCCAGTGTCGGGCGGCAGGGTCATCATTCGCTTCTCATGGTCTCCTTCGTTATGGTGACCGTGTCATAGTGAAGGGGAAGCATACTGGTACCAAATCAAAAATGATATTTCTGAGTGTGCATATTGCATCTGTTTTCTTGACAGCCATTTATTATAGAGGATGTTGGTCAGAGATTTGTAACCTTCCAAATGCTTCCAAAATCGTAACAAATTGCAAGAATATTATATAGAGAACTTTTTCACAACCTTTCCCCAAAGTAAGTAAGAGAGTTGCACAGCAAGCCTCCTCTGACCCTGCTATGTTTTGTTTCCAGGTGCTGTGCGCTATGTGGGGTATGTGGATGACCGCCTCATAGCTCCACGTTTGTATGTTGGCGTCAAGCTGGATGACAATGGTAAGATACATCTTTGTTGGACAGTAGTTAAAAGCGAGATAAGAGTTGGCAGTATGTTTATTATCAGTTCTTCTTTTGGGACAAGTCTTTTGAACATAGCAACTTTGCAGATTTTAGTACTTTAGGTCATGCTTAATCTCAAAAATTTAAAAAATGGAAATAGTGTAAAACAGACAATATAAAATGATAGGCTTAATCATTACCAAAACAAAAAAACTTGATACTGGGGTTAAAAGTGGTTCTGTGGGCTTTGTCACGCTGCGCAATTTCAACAATTGTGCCTTAGCCCAGCTTGCCTACTTTCACTTCAGAGTTTTTTAATTGCATTACAGGCTCATCCGTTTGATTACCGTGTCCACAACTTAATTAATGGATCGGTATTGGGTTGAAGGGTGATGAGGTGATAGGTGGATGATGGGTGAAGTGTGGATGATGTGTGGATGGGTGATGTGTGGATGGGTGACGTGTGGGTGATGTGTGGATGGGTGACGTGTGGATGGGTGATGTGTGGATGGGTGACGTGTGGATGGGTGATGTGTGGATGGGTGATGTGTGGATGGGTGACATGTGGGTGATGTGTGGATGGGTGATGTGTGGGTGATGTGTGGGTGATGTGTGGATGGGTGATGTGTGGGTGATGTGTGGATGGGTGATGTGTTGATGGGTGACGTGTGGGTGATGTGTGGGTGATGTGTGGATGGGTGACGTGTGGGTGATGTGTGGATGGGTGATGTGTTGATGGGTGACGTGTGGGTGATGTGTGGATGGGTGACGTGTGGGTGATATGTGGATGGGTAACGTGTGGGTTATGTGTGGATGGGTGACATATGGACCTGGTTTACACACACACACTGCAGGTTGTTGGTTCTAACTATGGTGTAAAACTGTTGTGATTCCAGTCAACTCTATTCACAATGGTATGTACAAGGGCAAGAGATACTTCACCTGTCCACTGGGTCATGGTGCAATGGTCAAGCTGTCAGATATCCGTCCCCTCCCCCTCGCCTCCCCTCGCCCCCTGGTCAAGGGCAACACCATGTTCCCCAGCTTCAAGGAGGTGTGCCAGAGAAGGAAGGAAAGAGAAGAAAGGTGAGGAAAAAACAAAACATGGCTTATGAAGTAGGAGTACCGTCTTCTCTTCAGTGCTGAATCTGTAACTGTATTGCAAGTCCTAATGATGCTAATTTTGGACCATTAGTTCATCATTTTCAACAACTGGATGCAATGTGTCATATGTGAAGATAAAGCACTCCTCCTCCTGTGGTTGTGGTTGAGGTAGTAAGACCGAGGCAAGAGAGTATCGGCAATGTAAGACCAAGAACGAAGCTCCAAGGTCTAATACTGCCGATACCCTATTGCCAAGGTCTTACTTCCAAGACCATAACCCAGGAGGAGTGTTTTATCTCACTTATAAACCATCTAAATGCAAGAAATAACAGAAAAAAATAAATAAAACATCTATATATCTTGTAGTGAAACAATACAGTGTGTCGCGGTATAAAAAGAATGCAATCAAAGCGTGTTAGAAAAAAAGCAGTTGCAGTATAGACAAAACTAAGTCATGACATCTAAAATTAAATAACATCTCATCACCTGTCCAGGTGGCTCAATGGGAAAACAGTGGGTAACAAAACTTAACACGATATGTAAGGAGTGGAACTCATCAGGTCTTACTAGCAAAAAGTAAAACCTCGCTCCATGCCTTAGGCGACATTTTTTTGTATTTCTTGGTTTACGGATGTGCCAGTCTTTCAAAGTCCAAATGTTAGAAAAAAAATAATATGAAAATGACCCCTTTTTTTATTAACGCCGATCTTTTTGTCAAAAAGCTCAAACAAAAAAAGGTTTCATTTCCTCGTCGAGCGTAAAACAAAGGGAAGTCACTCTGATATTTCTCACTGGGATCCTTCTCTTATACCATCAAAGCGCAGTGGTGACCAGTTGAACTTGTTCAACACTGTTGGTCGGTACACCAGCTTTAGAAGCCACGAGTCGCCTGACAACGCAGGATAGACAGGCCAAGTCAGGTCAAAATAGTTTATAATTTTATTAACCTACTTGTCATTTCATTCATTTATCTATCACATTTCACAATGTCTGAAATACATATTCCATTTGATTTTATCATTTTTTATCAATAGATTAAAAAATTATTCACTATTTCCCGCAATGTTATTGAAAATATAATTCTTGGACACACTTCGACAATGGGTCCTCATCAAACATGTCAAACAGCAAAATATAGATGTTCAAGCAAATCTTTAAATATATTATACAAAGTAATAAAATCAACACAAATATATCTAATAGTTGCCAAACTGAGTTATTATTTCCATCTTTTCATACGATTGTGTGTAATGTAATGTAAGTCAAATGACATCACGGCTTTCGTCACCTTGATTTCTCGGCTCAGACACGATGTCTTTGATGCCAAAATATATGCATAAGAAATCTTTGTCACAGCTCGTAACCTAGCACTATGCATCCATAAAGTTCCATATTTTTAATATAGATCGCGATTTCATGCTTAAAATGTTCAGAATATCATGATTTAACCCAAACCTTTTTGCCAAAGTCTGAAAATTATCATACACGAGGAGAGTACTGTTGCTGTAATTTGATTGGCGGCCGTAGGTCACATGCTTTAATTTGAACAATCACGAACCTTGTAGCAGATTATGTCAGTGAAACAATTTGGTTTTTTTTAATGTATACTGACATGGCAGCCAAAAGTCAGCCTGATGAACTTCATTTGTTGTAGGGGGCACGGGTGGCCCAGTCGTCTATGGCGCCGCGATTCGCTGTGCAGAGTTGCGTCCCTTGGGCTCGCCAGAAACTTATGATTGTGGGTTCGAATCCCGTTTGTGTGCATCATCATTTTTGCATTAAATAATCCCTCTGTAGTAGCAGTATAGGTATATAAATCTGGCTCCAGTGGAAGTGGTCCAGAATCCCCATTACGTATACTACTCAGCCTTCGACATATTGTGTTATTCATATGAAGCTTCGAAAACGGAGGTATTTCCTCATGTTAATGAGCGGACAGCCACTATCATCGGGAAATTGGTGATGACAGATTTCCTTTGTAATTCTTTTTAAAATAATGTTCTGACTAAGTAAACAAATGAAAATAAAGAAGAAATAGGTAGATTCAAAGTGGATTTTATTAAATCTTATATTTGCCGAAAATTGTTACATTTTCGCTTCATTGGTCCTTAATCTATGAATGTTATGAATGTTTTAGCTTACATTATTTTTATTTAAAACAAGCCTATAAAGTTGTTAATGAATTATTTAAATAATGTAATACACATAACTTTCAAATTTCTAAACAATTAATTAGACCTTTCAAATAGTGTATAGCCAAACATGTAGTAGCAAAGATGTTTTACAAGCAGATAATTTCCTGTGGATAAATGTTGGCTTCATCTATCACACAAGAGTCTGGGAACTTGGTGTCACAGCACTAATCTTCTGGTTGGCTGGTGTTGAAAGAGTTAAACGTCGCCCATGCTGCCAAAATAGCAGCGTCTTTCATCCATTTCCACCCATGACATGAATATTGTTATATTGTTATTTGTGCACAAGCTGAGTGCCAGGGATATGATAAAATGTTCTTGAAAAATTGACTTGTTTTAATTTTGTTACTCCACAACATTTTTTTATACCTACCTAACTTTTTAAGACAAAATTCAAGTAAAATAGACCTACCTCACTTTTGAAATGAGTTTGAAATCTGTAAACCAAGAAATAAAAAACAACAACTCATACCTGGGATGAGGTCTTACTAGCAAAAAGTAAAACCTCCCAAGAGGTTATTACGAGATAGAAAGATACCTACAATACAATAGGCAAACGTGGCAGTAAAGCTGTGCAGTGGGTCCAACATTGAGGTTCCAGTTCTTACTTTTTTGAAGGCATTATGAAGTTGGAGTACAAAGTATGGATAAGATATATGGATGAACAATTTCTCTATTACAATTAGTAGTGACGTTTCGATGTAGGATCTAACATTTTCTTGATAACGGTGTTAGAACCTACAGCAAAACATTGTTCCTAATTGTAATAAAGAAGTTGTTCATCCATATCTTATCCTAACTAAGTTCTTGTTATTTCTTATACCCTATTACAACAGACCTGTGCAAGCTGTACTTCTACATTCTCTGAAATCATCATTTGCAGACATGATAGAAGATTCCAATAGTCATTTTCATCTTTGTTTGCAATGTTTTTCTCAGTAATTCAAATTTGTAAGGTGTATCTTTCAATAAGTCTTCTGTTCAGGCATAACAGAGCTTTGAGATCACTTCATATTTTTCTGAAATAAATATGCATTAAATTTATTCACCGAAACACTAAAACAAAAGTATTTTTCTAAGGCAGAAATGTGTATTCTATTTGCAATATAAACTTCACATTGACTTGTCTTGTCACTTTGTGTTTATTCAACAGGCTTGCAAACCTGTATTCAGAAGCTCAACCATCCAAGTCTTACTCAGGACGGGCTGCACTGAAACCACCTTCCATCACACCACGCCTTACAAAAACTTCTAACCTTCGCATGTCCTCCGCACCACCCATCTTCTCAACTGGAGACCCACATGATGTTGCTCTCAAGGTAACATACCTTCACTCAAGAATGTTCATTACACAAAATGTGCATGTGTGCTTTAAGATAATCATCCAGAAAATCTTTGTTATCAATACCTACGTCTATTGTCACAGGTGACAAAAACAAGATAGGTTAAAGGGCAAGTATAGTGAAATAATTTCATTGCAATTTTGTCATGGATGTGGTTAGTTGTAGCAGTATCACTTGGGGTACATGTGGTTTGTCCTGCGTTTGGTTTTAAACCATGAGCCGGAGCCGAGTGGTATGCAACCTAATGCAGGACGCCTTAAACCTATTACAACAGATGTCATATTAAAACATGTCCGTAAGATAAATTCATTGTAGCAGGATCACTCGGGGGAACCCCAGGCACCCCTCATGGTCAATCTACGACTTATAATGTAGCCTGTTATCTTACGGACACGTTCTAATATGACATTGTGAAAGAAATAAAACAAATTCAAAATTGATATAGAAAACAACTGTCTGATTGAGCTGAGGTTAACTTGAGCTATGTCACATGACTTTCATTGATGGAAAAAATATACAGCTATTTCTTCGTAGTGGATTAGAAGGGATTTATTCTCCCTCTCAGAAATCCATATGCAGCCTGTCCTGCTCAGGGCGTGGTATAAGGGATTGATCCTCCCACTGAGAAATGTATTTCCCTCCAAGGCGGGATAGATATTATTTATCAAGATCACGTGAGCCAATCAGATCTCATTATTCTGACCTGAATATAACAATTATGTAGACACATCAAGTCCATTTATAAAAGAAAAAAGTATTTGAATGTCGTAGTGAAATTGCTGAAATCCATAACTGGCAGCTATGCATCAGTCTTATTTTACACCACATTGTTGATTTTGTATGATTCATTTGCTGAAATGGTAACGTGTGTAGCTGGAAATTGTACCAAGTCTACAACTACCAGATCTATAAATGTTAGCTTTCATTGTTTCCGTCTGATCTGTCTGAGATGAATGGATCACTTTCATGTTGGTAAAATGACCAAATAAATGCAGACTCAGAAGACTGTTGGCAAAGAAGAGGACTGTTTAGTAAGAATATGTTTTCTGTTTCTGCCATGTCAACTATTCAAACGCAGTTGAGGCTGAAAAGTGGGCCCATGAAAGACAAGTCACATTGCACACATTGTTGAGTGTGTGACCTCTGATCTTGACATTGTGAATAATAAAAGTAAAAAGTTATGTTTGTAACTAGCTTTTTATGACTAACATCCTGTTTGGGTACATAAAATACCTGCTTCCCTGGGAGATTACAGATTACATCACAAATGATCTGTCAGGGATTAATCCCGTGTAGACAACTGAAGGCATCCTCTCTGTTGTTACTAATTTATGTTGTTGACACTGTACCCATGTCCTTGTGACAATATTCTGTAATTGTAACAGAAATATTTGGTTAACAAAATTTGCTGAATACATAAAACTGATTCACTGGGAAGTGAATTGCTTTATAATGCTAGACAAATTTTGTTGTCTCGGGTGAAAGCCAGAATTCAAGTGGTGCGACACTTAGCTAGGTCTAATCTAACTTACGTAACACTTAAATCAGTGTCGAGCCATGACATCTGATTCTGACACAACTTAACACATCACAGGTCAATCAAATTTGTCAAGAATGAAAAACAAACCCTGCACACACACCCAATGTCTTGTTCTTCACTTAGCCTCAGTCTCCTCCAAAAACATTCCACTTGTTTCTAAACATTTTTTGGGGTAGATTTTACTGCGTATATAGGGATTGAAAAGGAATTTTACTACTCAGGCTTCAGACTTGTGTCTTAAGTCAAATACTGATATCCTTGCCTTTTCCTCTCAAAACACAGTGTGTTTTAAAGACTAATCTTAACACAGTTGCAAAACACCTGACACCTTTCAGGATGAGAAACGGAAGATGGAGAGACAGCAGCTTAACCTGCTGGAGGCCACCTTGGTGAGTCCCGAGGAGCAGCAGATGAGACGGTGGCAGCAGCTGTTCGGGGGACAGAAGGATGGCCACAAGATGGCCTCTACTCTACAGAAGCTTCACCAGGCATATGAGAAGGGCCTACACATTTCCAGAAGAAAATCCTCTACCACCAGCTCAGACTCATAATCCTGTTTTCCTTTACCAGACTTTCAATCTTTAAAATGTTGAATTATGCTGAGTGAAAAAATATGAAATGTATAGCAGAATATTTTCCATACTGCATTCAACAGAAATGTCCCAAAGTACAACACCAATGTGACAGTAGTGTTGCCACAAAGCAAGTAAAGCTCAGATCATGTAAAGGGCACATGCCAGATATATGATTTCCCTTATCATGGTTCCAGCTGCATAATAAGTGTTGGAAGGCCTGTCATACAGGGTACTAGTATTTGGTTTTCGAAAAGTGCCTTGGTGATTTACAAGAATTCATCTCACCTAACCATGCTAACTGTCTAGACAGCTGAATGGTGTATGGGATTCTGCTTAAGAAATATCAATCTCATTAAATTTAGATCTTAGTTCTCGCAACAGCTGAACCAAGATCTGAGGACATCCCATTACAGGTCAAGTCAGAATGTCGCAAACTTTGACTGACCAATGAAATGACTAACAAGAAGTCAACATTAGCCATCAGAAAGCAGTTTTCTCAAGCTTTACAGTGCTTGTATCAAACTGGCAACTTCCATTCAGGACAACGCTTTGAAAAATATTGAAAACTTTTGAAAATTTGAAAACTGAACAAAACAAATTCTGGAATGTCAAATACTGGTATATAGATGATATTGTATGGCAGTACTTCCCACAGGTGATGGAAAGTCTTTTCCGTTTCAAATCTGTATCCCATTAAAGTCCGAGATACACATACAGCCGTAACTGTCATTCGGAATACCCTGTGTTAATATTTTCGAGGTTGCATGATAAGAAAACACATTCTGATTGTCACTCTCCCGATCTGGAAAGCAACGCTCTGATTGGCCAGATGAAAGGTCGTTCTGATGTGACCCGTAATGGGATGTCCTCAAATGTTTGTTTATAGGTAGCGAAAACTATAAGATTTGATTTTTAATGAAATTGAAGAAATGTGTTGTTTTGATTAATTATGGTTTAAGATCATAGCAATTAATAAGGTCATAGTTATTCATTATTGAAGTTTTGTTTGTTTCCTGGCATAATTGTATTTGTTGTGCCTGTTCAGACATACTGGTACATGTTGAGATGAAGTTCATTTGTGCTGTGTTCTTTTATCTGTCTCTGATATGAATGTATTGCTGCCACTTATAATTATTTCATATTTAGTCATCACACCTTTTGAAAATAACATAAAATTTTATCACATGTTTGATGCTTTCATCACAAGTCACACTTCATTAATCAAACAGAAACACAGTGTTGCATTTCCGAGAGAATTGTTACTATTTGTACTTCTTTTGCAGTAAAGGTTTTCTAGTTTGTTATGTATTGTCAGTAGCTTTGTAAAGCATGTTCTATCCCTGGTCAAACTGGGGACTGACCAGTTATGTATATATTCCCCACTGTAATGTAACTTCTGTGTTTGTGTACATATACATATATGTTTGCGTTTTAATCACCAAATTTTCTAAAATACTAAATATTTAATCAGGACATGGATGATTCAGTCGTGTTTTGTTTCTGCAGAATCTACGGTCTTCCCAGGATTAGCTCAGGTTTTCTGGTTTGAAATACTTGCTGCCAAGAAACTTTCAATATGTATAGTTACAAGCATAAAGCTTTAAGTTGAGAATGTTTTAAGTGTGTGATAATCTATCGGTACCCAAATCCAGTTCACAGTAAGTTTATCTCCATTCTACATATAATATGATGCCGCCTTAAACTTTTTTCGTAACAGTGGCTTTTCATCCTGTACTATATCCCAGACATGTTGCTTGATGTGTTTTGAATAATAAATAGATGTGGGCATTTAACAGTACCGCAACCATTCAAAGGTACCTCGGTGAGATAGACCCGTCTGATATTCACCAATGTGTCTTCTTCCGGATTCTCTTTTAATAAACAGGTATGCTCAATTATTTAATTTTAAAAGTTGTCTATTACAATGTATATGTAGTGAGAACACATTGATCGATTTAGATCTTACAATAGTTTAGGAGACAATGATTGTCACTATTGAATATTGATTGGTCTGTCCATAATGGAAGAATACCTTAAAAGTATTAATGATCTGCGAATGTATGCCTTGTGTGAACTATCCTGGTTTATGCCAGGCAGGTCATGCACTGTGTTGTGCAGGTTTTATTTATTAATAACAATAAAAATGTTTGATGTTGTCGACTTTAAAATTTGTTTTGCGTTTGTGAGATTGCAGTGACTATTGTGACAGTATCGGTTCAGTGTTTCACATTTCTGTCAGACAGGTTTGCTGTTATTCTTCTGGCTGTGATAATACTAATGTAGCTTTTTTTTAAGCTGACTAAGTTGAATTAAATCTGATACAAAACACCTCCAGTCTGTTGGAGATCTTGTGATATATTCCTGTTGTGTTTGTCAGATACTGGTTCTAGTGGTAGAATGAAAAATGCAAAACTTGAACATGTTGAAAGACAACTTTTTCACTGCTTATCTACAGTGTTACAGATCTCCTTCTCATTATCAGCACCTTCATTGAGTTCTGTATGTGCACATGGTACTTCCTCCCATGTCCATGTTACCAGATACTGCCTGAAATACTCCGTGTTGGTGGTGTTACAGGGTACAGCCTGGGATACTCCGTGTTGGTGGTGTTACAGGGTGCAGCCTGAGATACTCCGTGTTGGTGGTGTTACAGGGTGCAGCCTGGGATACTCCGTGTTGGTGGTGTTACAGGGTGCAGCCTGAAATACTCCGTGTTGGTGGTGTTACAGGGTGCAGCCTGGGATACTCCGTGTTGGTGGTGTTACAGGGTGCAGCCTGGGATACTCCGTGTTGGTGGTGTTACAGGGTGCAGCCTGAGATACTCTGTGTTGGTTACTCCGTGTTGGTGGTGTTACAGGGTGCAGCCTGAGATACTCCGTGCTGGTGGCGTTACAGGGTGCAGCCTGAGATACTCCGTGTTGGTGGTGTTACAGGGTGCAGCCTGAGATACTCCGTGTTGGTTACTCCGTGTTGGTGGTGTTACAGGGTGCAGCCTGAGATACTCCGTGTTGGTGGTGTTACAGGGTGCAGCCTGAGATACTCCGTGTTGGTGGCGTTACAGGGTGCAGCCTGGGATACTCCGTGTTGGTGGCGTTACAGGGTGCAGCCTGAGATACTCCGTGTTGGTGGTGTTACAGGGTGCAGCCTGAAATACTCCGTGTTGGTGGCGTTACAGGGTGCAGCCTGAGATACTCCGTGTTGGTGGTGTTACAGGGTGCAGCCTGAGATACTCCGTGTTGGTGGTGTTACAGGGTGCAGCCTGAGATACTCCGTGTTGGTGGTGTTACAGGGTGCAGCCTGGGATACTTCGTGTTGGTGGTGTTACAGGGTGCAGCCTGAGATACTCCGTGTTGGTGGTGTTACAGGGTGCAGCCTGAGATACTCCGTGTTGGTTACTCCGTGTTGGTGGTGTTACAGGGTGCAGCCTGAAATACTCCGTGTTGGTGGTGTTACAGGGTGCAGCCTGAGATACTCCGTGTTGGTGGCGTTACAGGGTGCAGCCTGGGATACTCCGTGTTGGTGGTGTTACAGGGTGCAGCCTGGGATACTCCGTGTTGGTGGTGTTACAGGGTGCAGCCTGGGATACTCCGTGTTGGTTACTCCGTGTTGGTTACTCCGTGTTGGTGGTGTTACAGGGTGCAGCCTGAGATACTCCGTGTTGGTTACTCCGTGTTGGTGGTGTTACAGGGTGCAGCCTGAAATACTCCGTGTTGGTGGCGTTACAGGGTGCAGCCTGAGATACTCCGTGTTGGTGGTGTTACAGGGTGCAGCCTGAGATACTCCGTGTTGGTTACTCCGTGTTGGTTGTGTTACAGGGTGCAGCCTGAGATACTCCGTGTTGGTGGTGTTACAGGGTACAGCCTGAGATACTCCGTGTTGGTGGCGTTACAGGGTGCAGCCTGGGATACTCCGTGTTGGTGGTGTTACAGGGTGCAGCCTGAGATACTCCGTGTTGGTTACTCCGTGTTGGTGGTGTTACAGGGTGCAGCCTGGGATACTCCGTGTTGGTGGTGTTACAGGGTGCAGCCTGGGATACTCCGTGTTGGTGGTGTTACAGGGTGCAGCCTGAGATACTCTGTGTTGGTTACTCCGTGTTGGTGGTGTTACAGGGTGCAGCCTGGGATACTCCGTGTTGGTGGTGTTACAGGGTACAGCCTGGGATACTCCGTGTTGGTGGTGTTACAGGGTGCAGCCTGAGATACTCCGTGTTGGTGGTGTGACAGGGTGCAGCCTGAGATACTCCGTGTTGGTGGTGTTACAGGGTGCAGCCTGAGATACTCCGTGTTGGTGGTGTTACAGGGTGCAGCCTGAGATACTCCGTGTTGGTGGTGTTACAGGGTGCAGCCTGAGATACTCCGTGTTGGTGGTGTTACAGGCTGCAGCCTGGGATACAGACTAGAGTCTAGTGGAGAGAGGACAATGTTGCGATCGGCACTGTGTCAAACCCTCTCTTGTACAAAGAATGTCAGATGACAGAGAGAATCTGAAAATAAAAGTGAGTGAGTGAATGTTTTAAATCATAATGATCAATGTATTCCTCATAGTGATGTCATAGCATCTGAGCAATGATCTATCCATCCCTGGTCACACACAATACAGACAAAAGTGGGCATTAATTGTAATGAAACCTACCATATCACAATGATATCACTTCCAAGGATTACTCGTCATTTCTTTAATCCCCAACACATTTTGTTTGAAGAGTCATGTGGGTGTCCATGTGTAATCTTCTGCCTAACAACTTTTTCAGAATGTGAAAATAAAGATGGCAAACCAACACTGTGGAAAGGCAAAGGTACTGCCATATCACAACACTGTTGAAATGGCAACATAACATTTGTAACAGTGGTTCAGACCATCAAAATAAACAACCTACAATCACCAACAATGGTAACACCAAGTTCATAGCTGTGAATTTTCACAGAACATGTTACACATTAGACTCTTGATATAATAGGCCCCAAGATGGACTAGACCCCCGTCTGGACCCCCCAACCATACCTTTACAACATCAACCCTTACAAGGACTCTCTACAAGGCCACCCTGAACATGAACCCCCTACCATACCTTTACAACATCAACCCTTACAAGGACTCCCTACAAGGCCACCCTGAACATGAACCCTCTACCATACCTTTACACCATCGACCCCTACAAGGACACCCTACAAGGTCACCCTGAACATGAACCCTCTACCATACCTTTACACCATCGACCCCTACAAGGACTCCCTACAAGGCCACCCTGAACATGAACCCTCTACCATACCTTTACACCACCGACCCCTACAAGGACTCCCTACAAGGCCACCCTGAACATGAACCCTCTACCATACCTTTACACCACCGACCCCTACAAGGACTCTCTACAAGGCCACCCTGAACATGAACCCCTACCATACCTTTACACCACCGACACTTTCAAGGATTCCCTACAAGAATTCCCTACAAGGCCACCCTGAACATGAACCCTCTACCATACCTTTACACCATCGACCCATACAAGGACTCTCTACAAGGCCACCCTGAACATGAACCCCCTACCATACCTTTACACCACCGACCCCAACAAGGACTCTCTACAAGGCCACCCTGAACATGAACACTCTACCATACCTTTACACCATCGACCCCTACAAGGACTCCCTACAAGGCCACCCTGAACATGAACCCTCTACCATACCTTTACACCATCGACCCCTACAAGGACTCTCTACAAGGCCACCCTGAACATGAACCCTCCTACCATACCTTTACACCATCGACCCCTACAAGGACTCCCTACAAGGCCACCCTGAACATGAACCCTCTACCATACCTTTACACCATCGACCCCTACAAGGACTCCCTACAAGGCCACCCTGAACATGAACCCTCTACCATACCTTTACACCATCGACCCCTACAAGGACTCTCTACAAGGCCACCCTGAACATGAACCCTCTACCATACCTTTACACCATCGACCCCTACAAGGACTCTCTACAAGGCCACCCTGAACATGAACCCTCTACCATACCTTTACACCATCGACCCCAACAAGGACTCTCTACAAGGCCACCCTGAACATGAACCCTCCTACCATACCTTTACACCACCGACCCCTACAAGGACTCTCTACAAGGCCACCCTACAAGGCCACCCTGAACATGAACCCTCTACCATACCTTTACACCACCGACCCCTACAAGGATTCCCTACAAGGACTCTCTACAAGGCCACCCTGAACATGAACCCCCTACCATACCTTTACACAACCGACCCCTACAAGGACTCCTTGCAAGGCCACCTTGAACATGAACCCTCTACCATACCTTTACACCACCGACCCTTACAAGGATTCCCTACAAGGATTCCCTACAAGAATTCCCTACAAGGCCACCCTGAACATGAACCCTCTACCATACCTTTACACCACCGACCCTTACAAGGATTCCCTACAAGGCCACCTTGAAAATGAACCCTCTACCATACCTTTACACCACCGACCCCTACAAGGACTCTCTACAAGGCCACCCTGAACATGAACCCTCCTACCATACCTTTACACCACCGACCCCTACAAGGACTCTCTACAAGGCCACCCTGAACATGAACCCTCCTACCATACCTTTACACCACCGACCCCTACAAGGACTCTCTACAAGGCCACCCTGAACATGAACCCTCTACCATACCTTTACACCACCGACCCTTACAAGGACTCTCTACAAGGCCACCCTGAACATGAACCCTCCTACCATACCTTTACACCACCGACCCTTACAAGGATTCCCTACAAGGCCACCCTACAAGGCCACCCTGAACATGAACCCTCTACCATACCTTTACACCATCGACCCCTACAAGGACTCCCAATCAGGACTTCTTCCTGAACCTAGATCTCACTTTCTGCCAACTTTGTAGTTGACAGGTTTGCTAATGTTAACAAAAACATCCGTATTCTAGACGGCTATTACACTTATTCTGTGATGGAATAAGCATAGGAGAGCTTATTTTCTTAATCAGTACACCATACCATGTAAATTCACTGGAGTATTGCTTTGCAATAGTCTTGATTACTGGCTTCATAGACTAACACACCAAGGACATGATGAACAATTGTGTACCTTGTCATAGCTACCTTGAAAACCTGACCTGAGTCATGTCTTAGAGTATTACCCATAGGGTAAGAAATGTAATATTGGGTTAGAGTTCATAAAAATTGTATGTGCACTAGTGCAAATATTATTTCACACGCAACAGCATATTGTTTACACTATATGGACAGCACTGTTGACATCTTTTAAAATCTTATTGTGACATAGGTGACATCACACTAGAAAAGATGTCATGTCATAGCTGAAGATTATTGACGTCATTCAACAATTGTTGTTTCTAAGACGACGGTCATGATCAGTGCCTCTTTTTCTAATGGGGAGCTCATAAAGTGTAAGAAATAATAGGTAATAAAGAAATCATTACACTCGCATGTGTGTCATTCTGATTTTATGAAACTTGAAGAATTTAGGAATTCATGTATTACTCGCGCTCTCCCTCTGAATTACAAGAATTCTGACTCTCGTTTCGTAAAATCAGTATGACACACATGCTCGTATAATAATTTCTATATATCTAGCCAATCAAACAAGTCTAATCTTGTAATGTTAAGCATGAATATTGTGTTATAGGATTTATAACTGATGCAAAACATTGCTGTTCATTAATAATTACCTGCCCAAAGAAAATCTTCAAAGTAGAAAGTGTTTTAAACTATTTGTGGCTCATTTGTCCTAAACAATATGCTGATACACGTTAATGCATACATCTTACCTTTCAGGTTTTGTAAAATATCCTTATCCCCTGAAGACCATGAGTGTGTCAAAGTTTCACAGTTTAAGGTCTTCTCTTCTGATAACTGTTCTATCCAATGCATCTTTAGATTATATCTTTTCGATAAGGAAATCAAACAGTCATAGTCATATCTATCTTCATCAAGACGAAATACACCATACTGAACTGAATAAGCTGAATTATTCATAATCTGATCTGATGAAAACTGAACCAATACTTGATTGGCAACCCTTATCTTCCCTTATAAAATACATTAACGACATGAAATGCTGTGTCTTTAAATGGTTAATCAATATTGCTGATATTGTCTTTGTCATTCTAACATAATTATGATTAAGTCACAAAAGACATGAAATGTTAATGTACAAAAGCAAGAGCACCCCCATTATGTTTCCACTTCCTCCATGGCAACACGCTGTACCCAGTACACAGTTACAGACAGACATAGTGTACTACCATTTGCACTAACATGAAATCCTAAATCTAACAACATCTCTCACATCCCTCACCCATTGCATAGTGACAGGTTCTTCTCCTGCAGTAACACCTACACTGTGTCTCTTCACTCTAAACTTAAGTAGGTGTATACAAATTTTCAACCTTCAAAATATATGATAAATTGAGAGTTGTAAAACATAATGTCATTGGTTATGATAAAAATCATTGTTTATCACCTTGGGAAAAGATATATTTCATAAAAATGCCAGACAGTTATATAGTTTATATCTACACAATGAAATTTTTTGTAAGTCAATGAGCAAATGTTGTTTAACGCTACAGTCAGGAATATTCTAGCTGGATCTGGGTGGCTTGTACTTAATGAATTCTCAAACAAGTGGTTGATAGCATGAGTCCATACAGAGGGGCACGATGTCACACGATCTGCCAAACAAAGTCACAGGTCTTGACTACCTAATCATGAATTTGTCTGCTGTCACAACAGGCATGACATGCTAGTCTAGTCTAACCAGGGCTCGATTTAACTGCTGGCCCCTTGGTCCATTGCCAGTTAAAACTACAAGGGGCTTGCTGAAACATAAAGTAGAATGGCCCATCTGGCTTGTCAAAATTTTACCCCTTCTCCGTGAATGATTAATTTTTTTAACTGGACACTGCTCGATGAGAAAATATTTAGGAGGAATGAGGTCGTGTGAATGGTTAACTCAAAGAAAGATATACAGTCAAGTCCCGTTAATCCAACATATTTGGTTGCATATGATTATGTCGGATTAACAAGTATGTCAGATAAACGAAATTAAGTAGTATAAACGTTCGTGATCGAAAATCGGACAACTAAACGATAGATAACGATACAAACACGTAGTAAAAAAATAAAAATGAAATATTCATATTGTTATGTTACATTGTTCGCGGAAAATGTTTTCTAATCATGCAACCTCTGAAGCTCAACACAAAACAACTGTTACGGGTTGTATGACTGATTCAAGATACTTTAAAAAGCATAGTCTGGAATGGAAGTCGCAAGTTTGAAACTGGTACTGCAGCGCTTAAGAAAGCTGCTTCCTAAATTGGCTAATGTTGACTTCCTATTTGTCATTTCATTGGTTGGTCATAGTTCGCGAAAGGTTGTTCTGACGTGACCTGTAATGGGATGTCCTCGGCGATAGTGAGAACTTGTATCTGATTTTAATGAGAATGAGGTAATCTAAGCATGTGATTAATCCTGTTTTCTTTATTTAAAGCATTAATTGTTTATTGTTAAGCAAGTTTATCTCTGCAGCTGTTGTAATATGCAGCTACCAGCCGACTCGTCTTGCATCAAAACATAGGCTGTGTACTCGCGGAGTACCACAGAGTAAGCTGATCACTGTGTTGGATTAACGAGACTGATTAATGAGTGATTTCGGTAATTGGTTGCAAATTAGGTGCGTCGGATGGGGAAATGGGTCAGATTGACGGGTCTAAATAGTACTGATTTAATCAGTTCCCATCATTAGTGTCGGATAAAGTCGATTGTCGGTTTAACAAGTGTTGGATTAACGAGACTTGACTGTATTTCGATCATCTCGGTAGAATGACAACCAGCCGCCTTTTTGTAATGTTGTGAACAACAACATCTTTAGCTGCTGATAAATCACCATGAAATGAGGCAAATGGAAGCAAGGATTTAACTTCAGAGTGCCAAAAGAGGCGTTTAAGGGGTGAGGCGCCCTGCTAGGTTGCCACGTGACCTCAGGTTTGGCCACTTCACCGCCTCCACCATTTAGTTGTAGGCCAGTTAGTTGGGAGAAGGGCCAGTAACAAGCCATGCATACAAATTTGTTGTTAACTTTACTCCTGCCAACCCGGATCACATATTTCACAGGCAAACAAAGGATACAAGTCAAAGAGCAAACAATCCGAATCCACCAGTACTTCCAACATGGTAGACATCGACGGCCATATTGCTGTTGACTCTGTCATCTTATACACATCAAGTTCATTTGAATGTCTCTTGTACAATTTCACACACTGTTCTTGATGTTTGGAGAACTTATCTTGTGCTACTTTCACAGCACTTCTGAAAGAAAATCAAAAACAGGTTGTAAGTCGTGAGTTTTCATATCAATGGTAAGGCTCCAAAGTTGACAAAAATTGGATCAGAGACTCACTTTTCCAAAGTAAAAGAAATTCCAGCAGCCCTTAACGATAAACCCATATATATTTGCTTTGTCCCTTTCATCTCATCTTCCTTCACACCCATGATGTCCAGGACATTTGTTTTCAGAATTGGCAACATAATTTTACAAAAGATTCACTTGGCAGTAATCAACATTCAAAAACAAAATCAAAGATTGCATTATAAAAGTTCATACCATAACTCTTATTCATATACATGCAAATCCATTTATACTAATAACAAGAGGCCCATAGGGCCTGTATCGCTCACCTGGATATTTATGCAAACATGACAAAATATACATTTACATTGTACATGTATATAATACTGCAAATATTTTGTAATTTTGACTCTGTCAGCATTTAAAATAGGTGAATGGCAAATCTGACATCTTGAACGTGTATTTCTCAAGATACAAATGTAGAAAAAACATCTGAAGCGTTTCAATGTTATGATCCAGGATCTAAGTTTCCAGAGGCAAGGCTGGATCCCAGGGCGAGTCCTATTGGCATAAATGTTTTATTCTCTTCATAACAAACAAATGTATACAATGTATCTGTTTATTATACGGTGGGGATAATATCGGTTTGCAAGTTATGGTCAAGGTTCTAACTCCTTTAGGAGTGCCGGACAGATGAACAGAAGGGCCAGTCCTGGTAGCATATGTGCATTCCTCTCATTATACTCAGCAATAGAAAATATGGTTATATGGTGGGGATCTTAACAGTGTCCAAGTTATAAACACTTTTTGGCCCCGCCCCTCAGCCCCTTGGGGGGTCAGCCCCTCCATTTGTACAATTGTGAATTCCCACCACCTGAGAATACTTCCAACCAAATACGGTTGATATCTATCTCTTAATTTTAGAGAAGTCACTTAAAGCAATATAGACAAATTACCCCTATTTGGCCCTGCCCCTCAGCCCCTTGGGGGATCAGCCCTTCCATTTGTACAATTTTGAATCCTCACCACCAGAGAATGCTTCCAACCAAATACGGTTGATATCTATCTCTTAATTTCAGAGAAGAAGTCACTTAAAGCAATATAGACAAATTACCCCTATTTGGCCCCGCACCTCAGCCCCTTGGGGGTGTCAGCCCCACCATTTGTACAATTTTGAATCCCCACCACCTAGGGATGCTTCCAACCAAATATGGTTGATATCTATGTCTTAGTTCCAGAGAAGAAGTCGTTTAAAGCAATATAGTCAAATTAACCCTATTTGGCCCCGCCCCTTGGGGCATCAGCCACACCATTTGTACACTTTTGAATCCCAAGCACCTATGGCATGCTTCCAGTCAAATTTTGTTAATTTCCAATAAGTGGTTCAGAAGAAGAAGTCGTTTGAATAAATTGTTGACGTATGGACGCCACGGTATGGCATAAGCTCGCCTTGGTCCTTCGGACCCGGTGAGCTAATAATACTGATAATCAACACGTCATTACCGGTTTAATCCAATCAGAAAGAATTGTACTGTGTACTGGCAGATCTATTGGGGACGCAGCTAGGAGGTGCACACACACCTTTATTTCTTGATTGTTAACTGTCACCTGCCAAGTCAAGGGAGTTAACTGACTAAGATTAGTCTAAGGCATAGTCCAATCAAAATTGCATAACGAAATCAACATTCGGTTCATAAACGTCATGGCAACTGCCATGCAGATTTCAGTTGATTGCAGAATTTGCAGACCATGTGTACCGTCAACTGGGCGTCAACAGATATCTTCAAAATCTTTTCATGTTTTTAATAAGGTGCTCACGTTATTTGATGCACTTGAAGAGGAAAAGCCTGTCTTATTACAACACATCTTGATTAAAGATCAGATCTTCTCGACTGGGCGCCGCCATTTTGTTTGAAACAAACAAATGCAAGTGATATGAGAGGTGGAATCTGATTGGTCAATTGGTGGGACATAGAAGGGACAAAACTTGCAATAACCATTGGTAGTCATGGGCGGATACAGCTTTTTTTAAAACGGGGGGTGCACAATTAAGATCTATTTATTGTCTTTGATGATAATTTATACAGAAATAAAGATTTTTTTCGATATAAAAAGGGGGGGTGCGCACCCCCGCTCTGTATCCGCCCATGGGTAGAACTATGATCGAGCCCAGAAATTCCAGCCTGGAAACTGGGCTTGTATAGCCAGTCGACTCCCCTGCTTTCGGAAGATGTGTTTCTTGGGTAATATGTGCCCCCCCACCGATTTTACAAAATCCGCCTCCAGAGTGAGTGAGTGAATATGGTTTTACGCCGCTTTTAGCAATATTCCAGCAATATCACGGCGGGGGACACCAGAAATGGGCTTCACACATTGTACCCATGTCGGGAATCGAACCCGGGTCTTCGGCGTGACGAGCGAACGCTTGAACCACTAGGCTACCCGACCGCCCCCCGCCTCCAGAAAGTAATCACATAAAAAACTGAATGGGAACTTACAGCTTGTCACGTAGATCAGCAACCTTCCTATCCAACTCTGACAGAATCTTGTACAGCAATCTCTCCTGGACATCAGGTAATATCTTCCCAACTGGGAGAGTTACAACAGCCAAGCCTTTACAGTCAAAGTACTGCTCACACAGGTTGGTTGTTGCGGCAACAGTACAAGCACAGTCTGCCAGTGTCTTCTCCCAGAGACAAACAACTGATTCAAGGACTTGGAAAGTTTTCTGAAGCTGTTTTTGTAGGCTTATTTCACTCATTCCTATGGTTTGTTGACCTGAAAAAAAATGAATGTTAGTCTTATTTACTCTTACTCTTGTCACTGCATACATAGCAACAATATGCCCCATTCTGGGGTGAGTGAGTGAGTATGGTTTTACGCCACTTTTAGCAATATTCCAGCAATATCACGACGGGGACACCAGAAATGGGCTTCACACATTGTACCCATATGGGGAATGAACCCGGGTCTTCAGCGTGTTGAATAAACCCCCCATCCTGGAAAGAACATGTCTGGAGTAATGCTTGCTAAGCGAGGACACCATAAAAATGGGTGAGTGAGTATTGTTTTAAACCTCTTTTAGCCTCCAGCAATATCACGGGGGGGGGGCTTCGCACATTTTACCCATGTGGGGAATTGAACCTGGGTCTTCGGGGGGATGAGTGAATGCTTTAACCACTAGGCCACTCCGCCATAAATATGACTTGCTATAGGAACATTCATTACATTTGATCAAGTCAACTAACAACATCTGTGGACACCAGCTGTGGACATGATGTTTACAACAATAGAAACTATGATAAGAAACTGGAAGAAGGGAATATTTAAACCCCCGATTGTTGTTTTTTATGAAATTCTTTTAATTGTTTATATGTATTTTAAAAGACTAACCTCCCCCAATTAACCAAAGAACGACAGAATTCTATGTCCCGCCAACTGAGCGCATATCAAAACGCAAATTTCCAGTTTCGGCGGTCCAAACATTCTTTCATGTAGAATTTACTGATTGGCTGAAAGTTTGAATTCCATGACATAACGTGCAAACTTCAATCAGCAAACACTGATCAACAGGGCAGTGATCAGCTGGTGATAGACACACAGTATTCTTGCCACAGGTGTTGGGGGATGCAGCTTTATTTATCCATAACTACAGACTACACTGATCTTTGGTGTCCTGGATAGCTTTATTGATTGCTATTTATTTAATTTGTCAGTTGATGCAGCTCAATTTGACAGAGTAACCACCCTGAAAGCATTGCTTGCTGCAACCCACTCAAACAAAGTGTTTAGTTTTAATACCAATAGAAATATTTATGTTGTATATAGAAAATAAGCGACAGATCAGAAAGTCCTGATTATCTATATGCATATATCCCCACAATACATGTCATCGAGCCTCACCTTTTTTTCAGCCCCTATTAACAGACATGTGTCCATGCCCTTAATGACAAAATCAAGGTGAAAGACAGCAGAGTGTTTGCCAATTGCCGCTGAAGTTGTTACAAATTAAGCTTCATGAGGTAAGATATTGAAATAGTCATGAAAATACCTCAAAACTTACTTTTTCACTAATGCACAATTTAATCAAACTTGATCTGATGAAAAGTTTGCATCAGAACAATCGGCCTGGCCTACTTTTAGAATACAGTACCACAAACTTTTCAGACAGGCCACAATACCCTATGACGTAATTTGTAGTATTTTGTTGCCAGTCACACCGGTGAAACAATGCCCTGTGACGTCAGATGTCATCGAGTGTGCATAAGCTCCTCTTCGTGATCTATTATCTCCACACGCTATGTCGTTGAATAAGTCCAGTGATGTTGAGAGTTTTGAATATTTGTTTACTAAAAATAGCCTGAAGGCCGCACATTTCATAGCAAGTGCTAGTTTATGAAAGCACTTTTATTTTCAATATATGTTTTAATACGTTTTTTTTCCGTAATTCAAGTGGCTAAAATGATTATAAATAGGAACTAATATACATATATTATTCTTGGGATTAATTAATTTTCATTATTATGCACAGGAATGCAGTTTACTAGGGATATAATATTGGCACTCAACACAAGCAGTTGTCGCCGGTGTTGGAGTAGGTTATCCTAAACTCTATCCTTAACCCTTGGATCCCCTTTACAATCAATCAGCCCTTTATGATCATTAGGGTTAGGTACCCGTTTAGTGGCTATTAGATTACCCGAATTCTATCCTTATCCACTGGATCCCCTTTACCATATATATCAACCCTAGCTATACAATCATTAGGGTTAGGCACTAGTTTAGTAGCTAGTATAGATTCTATAGTGGCTCCTAATATTCTTCACTCAAAAACGTTGAGCTGAAATGGTTTTAGTGTCGAATATTATGGCCACTGGAATCTAGGGCTGGGACAATACACCAACTGTGCAATCCGATATGTATCAGGATTTCTTGTTCACGATCCGATACGTATCATGATACTTGTCTGTGATCGATACTTGTATCGGGAAGTTAAATATTGCGATCCACCGATGCATCGGTGTATCGTCCCATCACTACTGGAAACTGTCCTGGAACATACACACAAGCCACTTTCATCCACTACATCTATTCAGTACTGATTCAAAAGCGAAATCATCCCGCAACTCACTCTTGTGTCGTAACCAGCCATACTTATCCCTCCATAGTACCAAACAATTATCCTTACAGTGTTCCCTACCACACTTTTCTGTCACAAAAATCACCCGACAAATTTTTAAATATCATGTCATTCATGCATACCCAGCGACTTCAACACCTGGAGCCATTTTCAGTTCACCATTTCGGCTCATTCTTCACCGCTCGGTAACTTGTAGATTACGGAATGGGAAGAGTGTGCCAAATGGCATCGGGATCATTCGTAAGTGCTCGTAGACTAATGTCACGAGACCCGATGCCTACCTGTAACTCTTGTAAGTGTTCTTCACCTATTCTACCCTTTTTGTGCAGTTCCGGTATGACGTAGACATGACTAGGTTAATCTGCACTTAGTTTCAAAGTGTGGACGTAGCTCAGTCAGTTAGCTTTAGGGCTAACAATCCGAAGGTCGGGGGGTTCGCGTCCAACGGATTCTCACAAAAACTGGTTGCTTGTCTTAGTGACATGTGACCTACAGCAGAGATCATTCTCACGTGAAGTTGTGGTACTGTATTCTAAAGGTGCTGTGAACAATAGTTTGCACCGATGATGTCTCGGCTGCTGTTTGTAAACTTTCTGTCTGTTATGTCATGTAACTGATCATGTTGTGCATCTATTTTGAGGGGCTCGAAATCATGTGACGGTAACAATCATGATGGTGCCGGATTGACTTATCTCGCTCAGTAAGGCATTATCACTATAAAAACAAGAGTTTGCCACTAATGTGGCTATATCCCCCGCCCCTGTTGCAGAATTTATGACATAATTAAATCTAATCAAACCCTAACCTTTTTTAACCGAGGTGGAACTTGTCATGGAAATTGTAAAAAAAAGAAGAGTTTGGAACCTAAGTCCATCTTGCTGCCATGGAAACGTAAGAAAATAAAAATTTCTAAAATTTCTAAATAGCAAAAGGCACCAGTTCAGCATGTACCTGACAGACCTGCAAAGTTTGATGAAAAAATATTAAACGGTTTATGAGTTATGCTCCGGAAACGAACCCTACCCTCACAGAACCTAAGTCCATCTTGTTGCCATGGAAAAGTAAAAAATAAAAATTTCTAAAATTTCTAAATAACAAAAGGCACCAGTTCAGCATGTACCTGACAGACCTGCAAAGTTTGATGAAAAAATATTGAACGGTGTATGAGTTATGCTCCGGAAACGAAACGTGACGGACGGAGCCCGTTTCTATATCCCCCGCCAACTTTGTTGACCGGGGGATAATAATGAGACATGGTCATTTGACCATTAAAGTGGTAACAGAAACAAATATTCTCAGAGGTAAGACTTCATTTTAGTGTATTGGGATTGTAATTAAGACACATAATCAGAAATATATCTTTGGGACTAGAAAGCACATAATACAAGGATAGAGTGACAACCATTACTTTGTCAAAGACCATGATTTCATGGTCTCTGCTATTGTTAATAAATGGAAATGTGTATATAGCAAAGTTAAAAAGAATCATATGGTCTATGTTGCTGCTAAATAATAAAAACTGAAGATGTGGGCAAGAATGCAGTACACCAGACACCTTCTGCCATTTTGATGAGGGATGTGCATGAGCTCACTCCTTTGTAACAGCCTCTAAGTTTTTCAGACCTTGCTAAAATAACTGGGGCTGGAATTAAATGCTTTTGTAAGTATATGAAGTCTTTTTTGTCAAATAGTGTTGGTTGGTTTGTTGTTTAACGCCGCACTCAGCAATATTCCAGCTATATGACGGCGTATGTAAATAATCGAGTCTGGACCAGACAATCCAGTGATTGATAACATGAGCATCGATCCACGCAATTGGGATCGATGATATGTATCAAATAGTGATGCTGTCGCGTGAGGCTTTATTAGTAGCATCAAACAAACATGGTGGATAAGTGTCCGAAATAATGCATGTGTACCAAGATATGAAAATTATATACCGGTATGCCATTTTTCAGTAGAATCAAGGGGTGCAGGCTAAAACGGCACCGATTTCTCTGGCGAAAACGGCACCGCATTTGGCGAAAACGGCTACTATGTGTCGGGCTAAAATGGCACCTCTATTTTTAATAACGATAACAACGATTTTTGTAGTAATATATAGGGTTTATTTACATGGTATTTGATGTATTTACATGTCATTTGATGTATGTGATGTATTTACATGGTATTTCCTGTTTTCATAGATAAGTAAATATGTTCATATATACAGTTTTGTGGCATGTCCATCGTCAACATCATCATCATCATCCTCTTCACAATATTGGTCCAAGTACAACCAAACATTGTGAGAGTACTTGGGTCAGGGAGAGGTCTCCATCTTTGTATCTTCACCATATGTCGAGGATCTCCTCTTGACGAGATGTGGAAGATTTGCGCACATACGCCCTGAGTCGTCCCTCCTGAATGAGTCTTGACTGTAGAGGCAACAGACTGGCCTCGTGGAACAGCTCTGGGATCAATCTGTAGATCCCCAGGGACTGCTCACTCACCTTGTTATTGAAATGTCTGTGCCAACCTAAAACGTGAGAAAAAAGAAATTTTAATGTATAATAAAAACATTTTTATTGTTTTATATAGTTTATTTTTTATTGTGTGTATTTGTATTTGTATTTGAACTATTTGTATTATTATTACCTTCCACAAAGTTGTTTGTCCTGACAGCTATGTTGAACACAGACCAGGATCTGGGAGAGAAGGTGAGATGAGCAATCCACAGGGCTTGAAAGTAGTTTATCAGATCACGCAGTTTGCCAGTGGCCGGGACACGCTCTGTTATCCTCAAAAACATCCTCGTGATGGCAGCGGCCGGTACAAAGGGGAGTGCCATGATTTTCCTGACAAACTTGTGTATGGCATCATCCTCCATGTAGGCTACCTAGAAACAAGTGATATTTAGTATTATATTTATGTAAGACATATATGAGATAAATATTACTATTTATTTCTATTACTGTTCTTTTTTTGTACAATACATTAATATATATTATACCTGCAATCCAATTTCCTGACATTTCCGCCAGACTGCCTGAGTCAGGTGGAACAGGCATCCACAGATGTGGGCTTCTGGAAGGGTTTTACTGATAGCTTTCCACGCAGCCTGTTCAAAGTACAGGATTATCGTCTTGACTTGAGGATCGTTGGGAAGTAGCTCTAGAAGCTTCTTCAAGACTTCGACGTACTCCGAGGTTTGACGCCTTGACATAATTACAAAAACAAGAGGCATCAACTTGAAATTACTGCCGGCACGCACAAAAGCATGATTGATCAGCAGTTGATGAAACGGACGTTTGACAATCTTAAACGTTCCGTCCATAAACCATTGACCACTCCTACTTAGGTGCTGTAATTGCCGGTCAGTAGCAAGCATGATATGCCTCTCGTCCTTGTGAATTATGTCGCCACGGACGAAGCCTTCGGGTAAGAAGTCCTCAGCAATCTGAAAATATAAATATGTGTTAAAATACAATATTCGTTATGTTACAACATTGCTGTTATTCTGAGAATTTGAATAATAGCATTATGTAGTTCATTTTATTAGTAGTAGTACCTCAAAGTCCAATGTCCTCGGTTCTTTGGGCGCAACAGTTCCCTGGTTCGGTTTGCCATGCGAATGAGGGTCAAGTGGTTTTGGCGTCCACCAGCCTGGTCAGGGTCGACAATCTCTGTTGAGCATCTTCAACGATACTGGTGCCTGATTTGTAGGTGTTTTCAACAGCTTGTTTCTCTACCTAAAACATAATACGTTCAATTACTCTACTGTAACAATAAACTATTCAACATGTAATTGAGTGAGTGAGTGAGTGAGTGAGTGAGTATGGTTTTACGCCGCTTTTAGCAATATTCAAGCAATATCACGGCGGGGGACACCAGAAATGGGCTTCACACATTGTACCCATGTCGGGAATCGAACCCGGGTCTTCGGCGTGACGAGCGAACGCTTTAACCGCTAGGCTACCCGACCGCCCCACATGTAATTGAGAGCTTATTGTAAATTACCGAGAATAATTACACCAATCAGTTATAACAACAATATTAATACCTCAACTCGGACTTGAATTGCTGTCAACACTGTCCTGGGCTTCACCGATCACCTCTTCAATGACGGGAGCTACGCATTTCACACAGCGGAAAGGGAAGTCTTATTCAGTCCGGCAAATTTCTCTATAACGGGCCACAGAAAGTCTGGTTCCACATACACGATGGGTCCACTGGTCACAGTTATCACATGATACAGCATGTTGATTTTTTCTGACATTCTTCTCGCATGCAACACGGCGAAAGGCCATTATGAATAATTGAGATCTGACAGCACCATGTTAGGCCTCTTAAATACAGTTTCAGCTTAAATTGGGTAAAGGTACTTAAAACTTCAAAGCGTATAGTGTTTTCACAATAAGTTAACTGCGCCTCCCAATCAGAGTCGGTGAGTAAATTGGAGTAGGGGGCTAATTTCTTTTTTGTTTTATTTCACAATCATTTGTTTGTAAGAGATGATGTGAGTTTAATTTCTATTATTTTTCTTCAAAGCATGTTATTTTTTCACAATAAGTTGAGTTGTGTATTAGCTAAGTTGGATTATAGTTGGAGTAGAGGCTAATTTCTCATGTAAATTTGTTTTAACATCTCACAATTATTGGCGTTTGCAAGTTACAATGTAAGTTTAATATCATTTATTCGACCAAGGTAAAAAAAAAATAAGGTGCCGTTTTCGCTTTCGTCGAGGTGCCGTTTTCGCTTTAGTCGAGGTGCCGTTTTCGCCCGGTGACGTTTCGCCAATCGGTGCCGTTTTCGCTATAACCCAGAATCAAGGTTTTCATTATTTCAATTTCTAACTGATACCTACTGAGGAGACAAATAAACCTATTTCGTTGTTGACAATTGTAACTTCATCCTTTCACTTTTGTTGTGAAATTAGCTTTCGGTCATGGCTTTAAAATAATCATGTTACTGTGTCGTATGGCTCCGCAATCGTTGTATCTGCTAAACCAGACGAGGTGTCATTCAGCACGCGGTAACTGTTTGCCACAAATGGGCAGAAAGTCGTAAATAAAGATCTACATACGGTTAAACAAAATAATTAAACATTTGTAATAAATGTATATTTACAAGACATTTAAATACCTCGTAATTACTGATAGATTCATTTCAATTTGCTACAAAATGAAAATGCTCTGTTTGCGACATTGGTTTACGATACCGGAAGTGTTATTTGATTGGTTTAAGGACATTGATTCAAACTAAAGCGGAACTTTCAATATGTAAGTTTTTGCAGTATAATCTTTAATAAGAATTAATCGGAATATCATGGTAGATACTACAATACTACTAGGCTGCATATAAAATATAAAATGTTCATAATTGTTCGTTCGGGATCACGCAAACGTCTCTTTCAGAAAACGACAATGTTGATACGGGAACTGTCATGATTTTAATCAAAATCGATGAAGCCCACTTGTCAGTCTTGACATGCTTCAGTTTTCTACACCTATCTACTGATATCATGAAATAATTTGGAAAGTTTCAACAGATTTCTGGCTTAGAACATGTAGAAAACATGAATGTGATATATTTTATGTGTCAGTTTGTCTGTTTTTAGCACAATAAAATTCCACAATGCCACCTCGTAAAAGAACAACTAGAATTAACAAACGAGCTAAACCCAAAGCTCCTGAGGGGGATGAAGGCAAGTCACTGACTGAGCAAGAACGAGAGCGGAAATTGGAAGTCTTCCTTCAGGACTATGATGCCAAAGGTAGCTAGCTATTCATAATATGGAAATATATGTCAGGAATATTGCCATGATTAACATGATTATTAACCGTTTGACCATGTGATATTATCTCATAATTAGCTTACCATTTGCTTATCATGCCTACTGCCATATTAGTTCAGATGACTAACAGACTAAAGAAAAGGAAATATCCATTGCAAATACACATGTCAGTACATATGCACTGGTCAGGTGTACTGAGTTATCGAGGTCACTGTATTGAATGTCACCAGGCTATGTCATCTGCTGTATGCCTTCCAGAACAGAAACAATCCCCAGTACTGATTACCCATGATTGAACTTTGTCATCTGAAGTAAAATGGAGATGAAAGATTAACACTTAAATGATTTTGTTGTGATGGATGATGACCAGGAAAGTGCAACCCTGAGTTTCACGCTGTCTGTGTGTGTCCTCAGGGGAGTAGTTCTTATGCTTTCAGAGCTCCATATAAGCTGCATATTTACAATACAACTTGCGTACCTATATTTTTTTTACAGATCTCTATTTTCTGATTGAATTCAGGAATGATGCTTATCATGCAAAAATAAAACTCTAGTCTGCTGCTGTGAGTAATACATATACAAGGGCTATTTACTGTTGCTGTTGTATATCAATGGGAGTTAACATGGTTAATACAACATGTTTCACACTTGGGGCAGCACACAAAGAGAAACAAATTAAAAGTCACCTGAAACAGCTTTTCCAAAAATGTCTATCTATTGGTGAAAAAATACTCGATGGACCCACGGGAGTAAAAATATATTGAACACAAAATTTGAAAATGTGAATGATAACGTGTGAGTACATGGCCAATTGGATGCCTGGTCCAGGCCTTAGTCTTGAGTGAGTTAAGGAAGGAGCGAGTGATCGGTTACTTTTGCTAGTATCCCTAGTCAGCTAGTCATGTAACTCCTGTGTCATAATCTTTGGCTCTTTGTCCACAGATACCCTTTCTTACAGATTTAAAATGTTTGGGTAATTGTGTGTTTTGACTTGATTTTCAGTTGAGACTGCTCTTAAGATTATGGAAGATAAGATTAATCAGCTAACTAAGTCGGTAATTGTCCGACTGAAGGGAGAAATCATCCAGCTGCCTCAGGTAAATACATACACATCACATCCATCCTGTTCCAATCTCATTATAATCAGACCTTAGTGCTCTCCACCGCTAAACAAAGATCTGAAGACATCCCATTAGGGGTCACGTCAGAACGACCTTTCATCCGACCAATCACTGATCAGTGCGTCGCTTACCAGATTATGAAAGTGACAGTCGGAATGTGATTTCTAATCATGCAATTGCAAAAACTTTAACATGGGATATTCCGAACGATAGTTACGGGTTTAACGACTGAATCCTTACAATCTGGGCCATCTATTAGCCATCCCAGAATGTTTCTTTGTTAAGGTTTCAAATTTGTAATCGAGAATGTGTCAAAATATGTTTGGAAGCGTAGGCGCCAATTTGAAATTTATGCTGTAAAGCACGAGAAAGCTGCCTTCTGATTGGTCATTCCATTGGTCGGTCAAAGTTCACGCAAGGTCAGTCTGACGTGACCCGTAACGGGATGTCCTCAGATCTTTGTTTAGCAGTAGCGAGAGCTAAGATCTGATTTTAATTAAATTGATCCTGTTCTAGTCCAATACTACATCCTTGTTTATCATGTTTATGAAGATTGTTCTTATTTTCTATACCATGTATTTTAGTGTTTGAAATTAAGCATGAACTTGAAGGGGTCCTTCTCACAGCCCTAATGCTAAAAGTTAAAGATTTAAGGGTCCCTTGATTCATATACTATAGGGGCAAACTTCTAGGACAGCTGGACCAACTTAATTTCAAACACTATTATTCACAAACAACCACAACTGTTTCAATGTATATGTTTCTCCAAACCAGATCTCTCCAAGCTGTCTATTCAACTGCCCTTCAACCCTTGAAGATTGGTGATCATGCTTGCTGACTTGGTTGATGCATGTCATCATATCCCAAATGTGTGGATCAATGTACATGATATCGATCACCTGATTGTCTGGTCCAGACTTGATTATTTACAGACTGCCTTTATATAGCCATCTTCCCAAGGCAAGAGAGTTAACTGGCTTTAAAAGTCCAGTTTCCACCCTTGCAGAACTAGGCTGGAATTCCTGGGCTCGATCGTATAGCCACCAGTGGCTATAATGAGTTATATCCCTTCTATGCCTCTTCTATGGACCAATCAGATTCTATCTCTTCTATCTCTTGTATCACTTGCATTAGCTTTAAAAAAATGGTGACGATCTGATCGATAATCAATATCTACATTGTGATAAAACGGGTCTTACATCGCGAAGTGCGTCAAATCACGCGAGAAACCTTGATTAAAAACATGATTTCGATTGGACTATGTATAGAACGTTAGTCCAGCCAAACTGTAACTCCATAATACCAGCCTAGTACGGCAAGGGTGGAAACTAGACTTTTGTAGTCAGTTAACTCCCTTTGCTCGGGAAGATGTCATATGGCTGGAATATTTCTGAGTGCGGCGTTAAACAAAACAACAACAATATCATAATACAGTAGATAATCATATTAACATGATCATGATGTGTTGTCATCTAACACAGGGGAGGTCGGGTAGCCTAGTGGTTCGCTCGTCACTTCGAAGACCTGGGTTCGATTCCTAACATGGGTGCAATGTGTGAAGCCCATTTCTGGTGTCCCCCACCGTGATATTGCTGGAATATTGCTAAAAGCGGCGTAAAACCATACTCACTCACTCACTCACTCATCTTAATACTGTTTTTTTCTCTTTTGTTGGCAGTGATATAGGGTTGTCTGTATTGATATTTTACATGTTCTATTTGTTATTGCAGAAAGTACGAGAAATGACGATGGATGATTTTATAGGTAAGTCTTTGAGTCGTACCACTAAATGGGGGGTGCTACAGGGGTATATGGTTAATCCAATCTGTCCACAGTTTGTTCCAAACTAGTTGTATGTTTGATGTACTAGTTTTGAGGAGTAAAACATTGCTCTTTCCCTAATTCAGGGGAGAGAATCTTCAGTGTATCCGCCAATTTTAGTGACCACAAATTTGATAAAATCTTATGGCTTCCCCCATAAACACCTCCAAATTATGAACCACACTCCATTGCAAAGAAGTTCCAGCTGAAAATGACAACACCATTCTCATCCCTCATAATTCCTCTAGTGGCCTTGTCTGACCCTGGTGATGCTGAGATGGCAGTATAGTGTGGATGACTGACTTCATACCTTTTGTATTATTGAAAACAAGTAAAACCATCATGATTATGTATACGCACCCTGTTTGTCCCAGCATCTGGGGGAACAGTTCAGTGTGCTCTGGAATATCTGGAGATGAAGAGCCAGGAGCAGGATACAGGAGGCTTTGGCCGAGCCTGTCCTATGTCAAGTCAGCTTGTAAGAACCATGTGAGTACATGTCCTATGTTAGTGAGAACCATGTGAGTACATGTTCTATGTCAGTGAGATCCATGTGAGTACATGTCCTGTCAGTGAGATCCATGTGTGTACATGTCCTATGTCAGTGAGGTGCATGTGAGTACATGTCCTATGTCAGGGAGATCCATGTGTGTACATGTCCTGTCAGTGAGATCCATGTGAGTACATGTCCTGTCAGTGAGATCCATGTGTGTACATGTCCTATGTCAGGGAGATCCATGTGTGTACATGTCCTGTCAGTGAGATCCATGTGTGTACATGTCCTATGTCAGTGAGATCCATGTGTGTTCATGTCCTATGTCAGTGAGATCCATGTGTGTACATGTCCTATGTCAGTGAGATCCATGTGAGTACATGTCCTATGTCAGTGAGATCCATGTGGGTACATGTCCTATGTCAGTGAGATCCATGTGTGTACATGTCCTATGTCAGTGAGATCCATGTGTGTACATGTCCTAGTCTGTGAGGTCCATGTGAGTACATGTCCTAGTCTGTGAGAACCATGTGAGTACATGTTCTATGTCAGTGAGATCCATGTGGGTACATGTCCTATGTCAGTGAGATCCATGTGGGTACATGTCCTATGTCAGTGAGATCCATGTGAGTACACGTCTTATGACAATGAGATCCATGTGAGTACATGTCCTAGTCTGTGAGGTGCATGTGAGTACATGTCCTATGTCAGTGAGATCCATGTGTGTACATGTCTTATGTCAGTGAGATCCATGTGTGTACATGTCCTATGTCAGTGAGATCCATGTGTGTACATGTCCTATGTCAGTGAGATCCATGTGTGTACATGTCCTATGTCAGTGAGATCCATGTGTGTACATGTCCTGTCAGTGAGATCCATGTGTGTACATGTCCTATGTCAGTGAGATCCATGTGTGTACATGTCCTGTCAGTGAGATCCATGTGTGTACATGTCCTATGTCAGTGAGATCCATGTGTGTACATGTCCTAGTCTGTGAGAACCATGTGTGTTCATGTCCTATGTCAGTGAGATCCATGTGTGTTCATGTCCTATGTCAATGAGATCTATGTGTGTTCATGTCCTATGTCAGTGAGATCCATGTGTGTACATGTCCTATGTCAGTGAGATCCATGTGTGTTCATGTCCTATGTCAGTGAGATCCATGTGTGTACATGTCCTATGTCAGTGAGATCCATGAGTGTACATGTCCTTGTCTGTGAGGTCCATGTGAGTACATGTCCTAGTCTGTGAGAACCATGTGAGTACATGTTCTATGTCAGTGAGATCCATGTGGGTACATGTCCTATGTCAGTGAGATCCATGTGGGTACATGTCCTATGTCAGTGAGATCCATGTGGGTACATGTCCTATGTCAGTGAGATCCATGTGGGTACATGTCCTATGTCAGTGAGATCCATGTGAGTACACGTCTTATGACAATGAGATCCATGTGAGTACATGTCCTAGTCTGTGAGGTGCATGTGAGTACATGTCCTAGTCTGTGAGATCCATGTGTGTACATGTCCTATGTCAGTGAGATCCATGTGTGTACATGTCCTAGTCTGTGAGGTCCATGTGAGTACATATCCTAGTCTGTGAGAACCATGTGAGTACATGTTCTATGTCAGTGAGATCCATGTGGGTACATGTCCTATGTCAGTGAGATCCATGTGGGTACATGTCCTATGTCAGTGAGATCCATGTGGGTACATGTCCTATGTCAGTGAGATCCATGTGGGTACATGTCCTATGTCAGTGAGATCCATGTGGGTACATGTCCTATGTCAGTGAGATCCATGTGAGTACACGTCTTATGACAATGAGATCCATGTGAGTACATGTCCTAGTCTGTGAGGTGCATGTGAGTACATGTCCTAGTCTGTGAGATCCATGTGTGTACATGTCCTATGTCAGTGAGATCCATGTGTGTACATGTCCTAGTCTGTGAGGTCCATGTGAGTACATATCCTAGTCTGTGAGAACCATGTGAGTACATGTTCTATGTCAGTGAGATCCATGTGGGTACATGTCCTATGTCAGTGAGATCCATGTGGGTACATGTCCTATGTCAGTGAGGTGCATGTGAGTACATGTCCTATGTCAGGGAGATCCATGTGTGTACATGTCCTGTCAGTGAGATCCATGTGAGTACATGTCCTGTCAGTGAGATCCATGTGTGTACATGTCCTATGTCAGGGAGATCCATGTGTGTACATGTCCTGTCAGTGAGATCCATGTGTGTACATGTCCTATGTCAGTGAGATCCATGTGTGTTCATGTCCTATGTCAGTGAGATCCATGTGTGTACATGTCCTATGTCAGTGAGATCCATGTGAGTACATGTCCTATGTCAGTGAGATCCATGTGGGTACATGTCCTATGTCAGTGAGATCCATGTGTGTACATGTCCTATGTCAGTGAGATCCATGTGTGTACATGTCCTAGTCTGTGAGGTCCATGTGAGTACATGTCCTAGTCTGTGAGAACCATGTGAGTACATGTTCTATGTCAGTGAGATCCATGTGGGTACATGTCCTATGTCAGTGAGATCCATGTGGGTACATGTCCTATGTCAGTGAGATCCATGTGAGTACACGTCTTATGACAATGAGATCCATGTGAGTACATGTCCTAGTCTGTGAGGTGCATGTGAGTACATGTCCTATGTCAGTGAGATCCATGTGTGTACATGTCTTATGTCAGTGAGATCCATGTGTGTACATGTCCTATGTCAGTGAGATCCATGTGTGTACATGTCCTATGTCAGTGAGATCCATGTGTGTACATGTCCTATGTCAGTGAGATCCATGTGTGTACATGTCCTGTCAGTGAGATCCATGTGTGTACATGTCCTATGTCAGTGAGATCCATGTGTGTACATGTCCTGTCAGTGAGATCCATGTGTGTACATGTCCTATGTCAGTGAGATCCATGTGTGTACATGTCCTAGTCTGTGAGAACCATGTGTGTTCATGTCCTATGTCAGTGAGATCCATGTGTGTTCATGTCCTATGTCAATGAGATCTATGTGTGTTCATGTCCTATGTCAGTGAGATCCATGTGTGTACATGTCCTATGTCAGTGAGATCCATGTGTGTTCATGTCCTATGTCAGTGAGATCCATGTGTGTACATGTCCTATGTCAGTGAGATCCATGAGTGTACATGTCCTTGTCTGTGAGGTCCATGTGAGTACATGTCCTAGTCTGTGAGAACCATGTGAGTACATGTTCTATGTCAGTGAGATCCATGTGGGTACATGTCCTATGTCAGTGAGATCCATGTGGGTACATGTCCTATGTCAGTGAGATCCATGTGGGTACATGTCCTATGTCAGTGAGATCCATGTGGGTACATGTCCTATGTCAGTGAGATCCATGTGAGTACACGTCTTATGACAATGAGATCCATGTGAGTACATGTCCTAGTCTGTGAGGTGCATGTGAGTACATGTCCTAGTCTGTGAGATCCATGTGTGTACATGTCCTATGTCAGTGAGATCCATGTGTGTACATGTCCTAGTCTGTGAGGTCCATGTGAGTACATATCCTAGTCTGTGAGAACCATGTGAGTACATGTTCTATGTCAGTGAGATCCATGTGGGTACATGTCCTATGTCAGTGAGATCCATGTGGGTACATGTCCTATGTCAGTGAGATCCATGTGAGTACACATCTTATGACAATGAGATCCATGTGAGTACATGTCCTAGTCTGTGAGGTGCATGTGAGTACATGTGTGTTCATGTCCTATGTCAGTGAGATCCATGTGAGTTCATGTCCTATGTCAGTGAGATCCATGTGTGTACATGTCCTATTTAGTCCAGTGAAGATCTGGTGTAGACTTTCCTTGTCGTAAGAGGCGACTAACAGGATCAGGTGGTCAGGCTTGCTGTTTTGGTTGATGCATGTTATTGTATCCCAATTTCGTGGATCGATGCTCATGATGTCAATCACTGGATTGTCTGGTCCAGACTATTTTTGATTCGGGTGTTATACAACAAATAAAAGAAAACATGTCCTATGCCAGTGAGATCCATGTGACTCAATGTCCTATGCCAGTGAGATTCATGTATGTTCTTTTTTGCAGTTAAGATATATTAGGGTGCTTGAATTTGTGAATCACAATTATAAGTAAAAATACCTATTTTTTAACTTATCCTGCATTACTCCTTAATGCATTCACTGCTCACCTTTGACAGTAATGAAAGCTGTGATTGATCCTGCTCGAAGAAGTAAAGATGTTGTTCCGTAGCAGGACCACCAGAAGTGGTAGACATACGATGTCTTCATATCACTGGGTCACAACATAGTACAGACGTTTCTAAATTGATCCCAATTTTGCTGCTTGCTGTCCTTGTGACTTTCAACATTCCTATATAAAGACCCATATCCTTTGCCCCTGTGACAGGTGGTGTCTGGTTTGGCGTAATTTATTTTGCAATAATATGTATTGTTTGCACGTGAAGGTCTTATATTTTTCACATGTTGTTGTTTTGTCCACCATTTTGAATTGCTATTGGTTGTGGTCCCTCGTGAATATTAAGGGTGAAACGATCAGAGCTCCAGATAAGCTTTTGGTGTTGTGGGTATTTTACCCATGCATTTTAAAATCATTGGGTATCAGTAATTCTATCTGCGTATTCAAATTTCTGTTACCCACTAGTTTTTACACATGTGGGTATTTAAGTTAAATATTTAAAAACACTATTCATCTAGTCCCTGCAAACTGGTGTCGTGTGGGTTCGAGAGCTTTATAGGACTCAAAAATACCACGATACTTCCACACGAAAGTGTGATGGCAAATGATCATGATGTGACTGTCATCGTGGAGTTTGGCAAGGTTGACGGAATGCCCGTTTATAATTTCAAAATAAGTTTTGCTAATCGAATACGCAGGGTTACTTCACAATATTTTGATGATACGCACAAATTTTATTTTTGTAGCGTATCTGTAATGTTCGTTGCGTATTTGATACGCTTGGATTATATTTTACT